CTGACAGAGTTGCGCTCGTTCCTGGGCTTAGCAAATTACTACAGGAAGTTCGTGAGGAACTTTTCCACAATCGCTGTGCCCCTTCGCAGATTGCTAAGAAAAGAGACAATCTGGATGTGGGACAAGGACTGCACGTCTGCCATGAAGAAGCTAAAGCAGGCATTGATAGAGTACCCGGTCCTTAAGGTCGCCGATCCGTCCTTGCCTTTTGTCGTTACTACGGATGCTAGCCAGTACGGCATAGGCGCAGTGTTACAGCAAGACGATGGCAATGGGTATAGACCCGTAGAGTTCATGTCCGCTAGAATGCCTTCAGAGAAGGTCGCGACATCTACCTATGAGAGGGAACTCTACGCTCTCAGGCAAGCGTTAGACCACTGGAAGCACTACTTGCTTGGGAGRCACTTCAAAGTCTATTCTGACCATGAAACGTTACGACGGTTAAAGACGCAGGCCAAGATGACACCTAAGCTTACTAGGTGGGCCGCCGAGATAGATCAGTACTACTTCGAGCTCAAGCCTGTCAAGGGGAAGTACAACGTAGTTGCGGATGCTCTGAGTAGGAGGGCAGATTACTTCGGGGCGATAGTGCATTACCTCRATATAGGGAAAGACCTGCAGCAAGAGGTTAGAGAGGCCTATGCATAGGACCCTATCTATAGTGACCTCCTTAAGAAAGTCAAAGAGGCCCCAGAGACTGAGTCGAATTACCGCACTACTGAAGGATTACTATTTGAGAAGACTAATGTCTTTGACCGGTTATGCATCCCCAATAGCGAAAAGATCCGTAGTCTGATCTTGGGAGAATGCCACGACACAGAGGGTCATTTTGGTTGGCAAAAGACCTTAGCCAATTTGATGCGCTCGTATACCTGGCGAGGGATGAAGAATGACTGCGTAGAGGATGTTCGCAGTTGTAAGGTCTGCCAGCGTAACAAGTCTTCTACGCGTGCCCCGTTAGGTCTTCTCAGACCCTTGCCCATTCCGGATCAGCCGGGAGACTCAGTGTCAATAGATTTCATGGACACTCAAGTCAAAAGCAAGCATGGCAAGAGCCAAGTCATGGTCATAGTTGACCGCTTTAGCAAGTACGCAGTTTTTATTCTTTTGCCTTCTGAGGCGCGTACTGATTTAGTCATACAGAGGTTCTTTGACTGTTGGGTTAGTGAGAATGGAATCCCGCTGTCTATAGTTAGCGATAGAGATAGTCGCTTTACCAGCCAAAACTGGCAAGAACTCATGGGAGTATACGGATCTAAGTTATTGATGTCGTCCGGCCGCCATCCAGAGACTAACGGTCAGACAGAGCAAATGAACAAAATCCTACAGCAAGTTCTGCGCATGTACATTAGGCCRGATCAGATTAACTGGGATGAGATGTTACCTAAGGTAGCTAGTGCATATAATAACAKYRTGCATCTGTCCACCTGCCGCACTCCCAACGAACTGCACAAGTCCTTTAGGCCCCGTAGGCCATTTGAAGGACTTACCCGGGATCAGGTTTACAGATTGCCACCCGGGACCAGGGAGTTTGCTGTGCAACACGAGAAAGAACTAGCTACTGTAGTAGAAAACCTCAGAAAGGCCCAGCACAGGATGATAGAGCAAGCCAAGAAGCATCGTCGCCCCTCGCAGTTTCAAGTAGGCGACTTAGTCTGGGTCAGTTCTAAAGAGTTTACACCTGAGGAGAACATCTCGCAGAAGTTACTACCCACCTATAGAGGACCGTGGCCAGTCCTAGAAGTCAA